AAGAAAAAAAGACAGATTTTTGAATTACAAATCCGAAGTCGTTCTTACTGTCGCTTATAAAAAGTGATTGTACAATTTGGATTTATGTGAAAATCAAGGCGGACAAACAAAGGAGAATGTTGTTTGTCAAAAAATTTAAAAAGCGTTTATTAAAAAAAATTGCTGGGATGTCAAATTGTTGACGGGAATGATCATTCAAATTTTGACTAGCGTTTTATCATCTTGAGGTTCTAGGTATTCCTGTTTGGAAAGAATTTGAAAGTCCTTTGGAGCCTCTAGTGTCTTTTCTTATAATCATTTAATTAAATTTCTTAAAGAATACGTCATTTGCTAACATCAGTCTTATCTTGGCAGCTCCTAGCCCCGCCCACCCACCCTCTCTTTTCTTAGAAAAGGGGATAAAAGTTGCCAAGATAAGACTGATTTTGGCAAATGACACACCTTCTGAGAAAAGTGACGGCGGGTGGGCGGGGCTAGTACCCGCCAAAATAAGAGTAATTTTGGCAAATGAGATCCCTCTAAGAATATAGAGGGCGGGTGAACGGGCCTAGTACTTGCTAAAATAAGACCGACTTTAGTAAATGACATACCCTCCAAGAAAAGAGAAAATGGGTGGATGGAGCTAGTATTTTAGTCATTTGCCAAAATTAGCCTTATCTTAGCAGGTACTAGCCTCGCCCACCCACCCTCTCTTTTTTTAGAGGGTATGTTATAAGTTTGTTTCTGCAGAACTTCCCTAGCCTCTGAAGTACAGTCCAACAAATTCGGCGTTTTTGAAAAATTATAAAATACAATTTTGCGACGTTTTATTTGTGATATAACCTCTACACATAACAAGTACTAGTAAAGCAGTAACAGTTGAGAAAAAAAAAAAGAAATCTTCTGAGGGGAAATTGAACCCACTACCGTTTTACATTAAGGTTTTTGGATTACAAGTCCGATGTCGTTCTTACTATCGCTTATAAAAATATATTGTACACTTTGGATTTTTGGAAAAATGTTTATGCCTAGAGTAAAAAATCAAAACGGATTCATAAACGACAAACATAGGAAAATTTAAAAAACGTTTTTAAAAAAAAAAATGAGGTGACGTTATCAAATTGTTGATGGAAATGATCAATCAAATTTTGATTAGCGTTTTATCATGTAGACAATATTCCTAAGATACATATAAAATTTATTATTTTTAGATTATCGGTCCAACAGAAATCAATACAGATGACAGACAGATAGATAAATGGAAACGGAGATCTTTTATTCGTAATTTAGGGGTCATGGAACGTCATGGAAACATGAAAGTAGTAAGTCGCTTACGTTCGGGAAGAAAAAATGATATTAGGTTATTTATACATAAAATAATACGTACAGGGTGTTCATTCAAGCCGTGTGTTAAGATCATGAATTCTAAGTGTATTATTAAAAAAAAAGCTTCACGTAGTCTGAAAGAACTCATCTATATCATTAATTATTTCAAATATACAGAGTATTTACTTTGAATGTTGTAACATTATAGTTGAATTTGTAAATATGAGACCCTAGATAGTTTTACTTTTAGGTTTTCTAATAAAAAAACAAAAAGAAAAATGATATCAGCATAAAGTATAAAAAATATTAAAAACTACTTACACAGGATGGTCAAATATAGCAAATTATCCATCTTTCATACGGCATCTTTATTTTGTAAGATTTTAGAGCTTACCTGTAAGTACGAGTAAATGATAATACCAAATTTGTCGACGTTTATTCCAATATATTTTTTTTTGTAATTATTGTTAGGATAATCCAAACGAACCTGACATCAAAAAAAAGTTTACTTAAGAACTAGTTTGAAATCTAAAATATACAGGGTGTCCTAGTTGAAAATTGTAAGAAAACTGACAATTTGCTGATTTATCTTTATTCAGTTATTTGTACGTGTGCAAATAGAAAATGACTAAAATTATATAAAATTTATATTATGTTTTGCCTCTTTTTTCTAACGTCGGGGATCTTCTTTTCAAAACAGTAAACTGAAAACATGGTTATGTTGGTAAATTTTTGTGGAGAAATACGGATTTTGCAATTATGCTCCGCCCCTCGGTCTGACAACGAATGAAAAACTTATCACAACTGAGACTGGGGCGGGTGGGTGGGGCTTCATCTTTGTTTTTTTTTTTTTTTCTAATACACATATATATTTTTCTTTGAACATTGGAATGAATAAAATCAAATGGTGAATTTGAAGTCAGATTTTTTTGGAAAAAAATTTAAAAATGAACAAACAAAAAATTGTGATATAAAATCAAGAAAATGAAAATTAAAAAATCGGGAAAATGAAACATAAATATCAAAAACTTGAAAAATTATGAAACCACAAAAAAAAGAAAAATTGAAAAATTAAAGAAAAGAAAACATTAAACTGTGATATCAAACAATTTGCCGAAGGTAAATAAATCCAAATTTTTCGAAAAATTGTAAGATTTAATTTTGCGATTTTTTTTTTGATAACCCTTCTAAATCAAAATAAAAACATGTATGTAATGTTAAAATATTTACATTTATTTACACTTTCATAATGTAAAATATGATATTATGTTTTTAAATAAAAACATGTCAATCTCAGAGCATGAAAAAATATGCAGAAACGGAACACTCTGTATAGTTGAAAATAATTTTAAGTATGCTACTCCAAAAACCGTACAACATACACCTTGTTTTTTTTATATCTAATCATTAATGGAATATACAGAATGAGTCAAAAAAAAATCTAGACTGTATAGTTATTTGCGAACCATACACTAAATTTATTTTTAACTACACAGGTGTCCAGTTTTTAAGCTGTAACAGACAACTCAAATGCAATATCTATATATTTTTATATATTCTGATTGACCTTTTCTTAGTCTTTATACCCACAGTCTATTTTATAAATACCGAGGCGACGTTGCCAAGTTATTCCGATTTTATTCAATATTTTAACAATAGAATATATTGTGAAAAGATAAATTAAAACAACGCATTTTATTATGGCATCACTAAAAGTGGATTGTAATATACAGAGTGTTTATAATAAATTAAATTGCAGCAATTTTCAAATATCAATTAAACCTGACCTAACCTGATCTAACCTGACTTGACCTGACCCGAGCCGACCTGACCGGACCTGACCTGATCTGACCTGATGACTTGACCGAAACTTTGTTTTAATTGAATCATTTATGACTTTTCATTAAAATGTTGTATTTATTTTTCTCCAAAAACCCACATTTCTGGCCAAACTAAACCAGTGTCAAGCCCATTCCCTCAAAGCATATATAAGCGGTTTAATCTTTATGTTTTTTTTAATAGTGTTTTTTAGAAAGAATTTAAATCTGAGTAATAATAAACTAGCCTTTAAACTTTTAAAATTTAAACAGTAAACTTTTATACCTCATCTTGTATATTATTTGAAAACTAACTGAATATATATTTTTATATCTCACGCTAGAAATATAGTCTTCTGTCATCTGATTGTTGCGACACTCTGTATATATCAAAATAATCATGACATCTGACACAAACGTACTAGTGATTTCAGTGGTTTTAATCCTCGAGAATATAATGGTACCGATCTATGTACATATTTTTAGAAATAAGAAATTAGGGGGCAGATTTTAACCTGTTCGTCAATATATTAAATTGTGGCTTCCAGTGTCGGATTGAGGACCTGGGGGTCCACCGGAAAATTTACAAGGGGGTGCCCCGGGGTACTGTATAGTGTATACTGATGTTTAGATATTATTATTATTATTATTACTATTATTTTGAGTTTTGCCAACGACATTGGCATCTTGAAAAAATTGATGGAAGATTATTCAACAGAACTTCCCTCGCCCGTTCGAAAAATTACAAAATTTGATTTTGGAAAAATTATTTTTTTTATGAAAATTCCTACAGGTTAAAATAAGATATGATGTATACAATGTTAAAAGTAAATGTGAAGCAGTGTGCTACGCATATGTTTCAAATGAGTTTTTTCTTTACAAAATTTTGTAATAACGTCATCAACATTTTTGCAAGAACACGTATTTATAACTACCATGAAAAATTCGAAATCTAAAAAATGTGTAAATCCAACAAATTTAAAGAACAAGTAAATGAACAAAAGTAGAAAAACGATAAGGACATGAGAAACGAATTCTGTTTTAATGGAATAAATAACTCAGTATAGTTTCTATCTAATAAAAATATCAAAAAACAGATGGAAATGGGAGACCTACTTTTCATTTTCTAAGAAATATTAAATTTTGAGAGAGGATGCAATTAATCATTCTTCAAATGGAGTTTAGCTTGCTCTCACAAAGCAAATAGATGAAATAAAAAGTAATAAGATAATTATCACTTAAACACGGTGTGACTTTCGCCCATCATTAAAAAAGCCCCCACATTCTTAAGAAGATTCAAAATTCCACGTTTAATAACACCAGCAATTTTTGTTCCCATCCCATCACTCCCATCCATCCATCCATTAATTAACCGTCTCAGTACCGACATCACGTCCACAATGATCTTGCAAATTCCTCAAAAACCACCCAGCTAATACCTCAAATATCTCAATCGCTTACAAAGCCTTCGCCGCACTCACCATTCCTCCATTAAATTGATTTGTTCCGTGAAGCCTCCCGTCGCCCCGCAGCATAATACCAACAATACACAATCAAAACGTTTAAATATTGAAACCACCTGTCAAATCAAAGTGAAATTGATATGTAGCCGCCATTGATCACGAAATTCGCTCAATAGATTTGATTAAAGCCGCAATCGCTGCGGCCTTGCGCCTCTTGTGCCACCATAGACCCAATTAACCCATCAGCCGCAGCGCTCCACAATCGGGCCCCTGCTTTCCCTAATTAATGCGGCGATTTACGAGGGCATAAAATCTCGCGTTTCCACGAAGCGGCCAGGGCGCGAACCGCAGGGCGCCAATTAAGGGCCCATTCTGTTCCGAGTGGTGGTGGGGGTAAAGGAATGAAACGAGGGGGTAGAGAACTCGGTTATCTGTTTATTTTTTCGCTCTATATGTACTATGAACCGTCGTGGTGAACCTAGCGAGGACTAAGTGCCATACTGGGTGTTTTTACACTTTAAATAGTAAAATTACGCCTATAATTTACATCGTAGTTTTTACAACACTATATACAAACTTTGTACAAATACTATTTACAAAATACATTAAATGCAATCATTTAACGGTTAGTTTGGTTTTATCACTCTTGGTGCTCGTTTGCTGACCCTGGTGGTGATAACCTAGGGATTTTTGTGGTGATAAAGGAAATTAATTTGCTTTGGAATAATAAAATTTGTTTGTGTGGGATTAAGTCATGTTTAATTATAAACGGATTGTTTGTTGGGTTTTCCTTTAAATGACCTCCTCCATTAGCGAGTGGAAAAAGCAGATGAGTTACAGTAAAAAATGAAAAAAAAGTTTTTACAAAATATCCAAAATCAAAAATTAAACACGTTTTAATTCAAAATTTAATTCAATGACAAATATTTTCAAATTTAGAAACGTAATATATACGACGATTTAAAGAAGTTCGACTGTATGATTATTACGAAAAGGTAATATAATTTCTAAACGTAGACCTTTTTTCTTAAACGGTGCGTAAACTTTTGAAAATTTCTGGCTCACCGTGTATATTTCGGACCCGGATGAACATCTTTATCTCCCTTTTGAGAATCCCGCCGTCAAAAATCAATTTATAAACGTCTCAAAAGCGTCGAATCGTGCCGTAATGAGTGCAAAGATCAAGCGAACGGCGATAAGCAGTGAGAGGTCGCCATGAACGATAAAACCAAAACCATGACACAACAAAACAAAAACAACCGATTAAAATGCTAGAGTATCGAATCACTAATTTGGCACAAAGAATAATAATAGTGCGTTCTTCCATTGTAACGATCACATATTGCAGCGTTTGCCGCCCCACGATTTAGGACATGTGGGGGCTGGGAGATCGGATCGCACCTTGCGGCGACGTCAAGTGTGGGGGCGGTTGCGGAATGAGGCCGAGGTGGCCCATGGGGGGCCGGGCCCCCAGCAGCGACGCCAGGGGGTGGGCTCCGGGGGGGAAATAGCCCTGCAGCGCTGGATGCGGGTAGAGTGGATGAGGGTGGCGAGATAAAGACGCCATCTTCAGCTTCTCGATTTCGGCTTCCTGGAGGCGTTTCGCCTTGGCACGGCGGTTTTGGAACCAGATTTTCACCTGGAAAGAAACGAAACGTTAACCTCACCTGTCGGAGTCCACGAACTCGACTATATTATTGTATATGTATAATTTTGTGCCTTAGTATTTTCAGGAATACAGATGTTCTGCAAATCGACCACATCGCCATCAACAACTTAAAATACGCTTCTTAAATTACAATTAAACCTGACAAGACTACAAATTTGCGCTTACTTTTTGAACTTTCATTCGTTCTTCCTGTTACGAGCCTTTGTGGTGTAGTTTTTGCTCGACATGTAATATTGCACAACAAAAGAGCACTTACAAGAAGTATCCATTAAGCTAACGAAGCATAAAATCGCTGTTGGGACGTAATTTGCTACACTTGATTTTTTTGTGTCGTATTTGTAGCGCAAAAATCTATTGCAACATTGTGGAAGAATTCGTTGTTTGTTTGTATGTTTGTTATATACGCATTTGGTGAGCTCTTTATGTGTATATGGGTTTCAAAAGCCAATTAACACCCGCATGTTGTATATCTAGTATTTACCTTGGGGACAACCAATGAAAATACGGAAAATATTTGTTTTACAAAAATGCGGTGATCGTATTCTAATGAGCTTAACAAGACTTGGCAGGTGTTTTGATGGATGTATTATCAACACAACTGATCAACTAACTCTTCTTTTTTCTAACCCACATGTTAAGCGTACGTCAAAAAATTTCCGAACAGGTGACGTTTATTTTTTTGAAGGATTCTGTGTTTATTTATATAATAATTTATCTGTAATGGGTTGTTTAACCTTAAATGGTCACCTCTGAAAATTCATCAGCAATAATAGATAACGGTTTGAAGGTGTTTTGTGAAATTTGTTCGTAATGGCTTTTTCAAGAAACTCAAAATCTTTTTGGTTTTCTGAAACTACACATATTTTCCATACGCCAAATTTTGTCAGCGAATGGTTACTTAAATACTTATTTTTTTTATACATATATTGGTTGATTTGATAATAAAAAAAATAAGTAGTTTTTATTATCCATTTTTTTCGTATTTGTTGTAACCAATTCTTTTTTTTTCACTTTCCTCTCTAGTGTGTTGAAAATGGATATTTTCGCAGTTAAAAATGGCCCACTTTTTGCGTTTTTTTTTTTTTTGTATACATACTGTATCCAAATGGCACTCAAACTCAACGGTATATTATTAATTTATTAAGTTTCCATGTTTATCAATAATATTTAAGTTTTTTCTATTGATATAAAATGAAGAAAGCTGTGGATAAAATATTGTTAATTTCAAAATCATTCTGAATAATAAAAGTACGGTTAAGTAATATAAAAGAGTTCATAGTGATGTTGCCAGTTCATCAAGTACTCTGAATTCCCGAAGGAGTCATATATAAATATTATAAAATTTGGAATCTCCATTTTTATAATAATTAAAAAAAAATACGGTGAAACACAGCCATGGATTTTCGAAGATTTGTCTTTGTTAGAATTTTCGTCTTGTCAGATTCCGTCAATTTGAAAGTTTGAATTGAAAATGTAACGATCAAAGGCAAAATTTGGAATAACCAATATATATTTGCCTTTTTTCTTATACCTAGTTTTCTTCTTCAATTTTTGTAGACAAATTTGGATTTTGGAATTAAACTCCGCCTCTCGATCTGACAACGAATAAAAAATCCGTCACAATTGAGATCAGGGCGGGTATGGGTGGGGCTTAATCTTTGGCTTTATTTTCTGTAGTATTCTTTGCACGACACGATACTCAAAATCATGTTTTTAATTTCTCGTAGAGAAACAAAATTTTTGCAAATATGCTGCACCCCCTTGACTCGTGACGAATAAAAAAAATCATCACGATTTCTTTTTTACTTAATACATATAATTTTCTTTGAACAACACGATTTCGTAAGAACACGTTTCCCATAGGTAGAAAAATAAGGATTTAATTAAGCTCCACCACCGATTTACGACGAATAAAAAAAATCGTCACAATTGAGATAGGGTGGGTGGGCGGGGCTTATATTTTGCCCTTTTTCTTAATATAGGCAGTCATCTTTTCACAGTAGAAACTTAAAACATGTTTAAAATGGTAAATTTTTGTAGACAAATATGGATTTTCCAATTAAGCCCCGCCCCCCTGTTTACGACGATTAAAAAAATAATTTATTTCGCTAATCACGTTCCAAATTTTTATGTCTTTAGGTATGTTTTTTATTATATTTTTGTGAAAAAATTATTCTCATTTAGTTTCTGCGTTTTCAAAAATCGCTAAACATTTTTCATTTTAATAATAATGTACGATTTTAACGTTAATCAAGAAACTGTAAAGATATGTGATTCTACGGGGAAAAAAATAAAAACCAAAAATTCGTAAATCTTTACTTTTTCATTTTTGCCGTTTTATTTTTAATCTGTTTTTTAAACCACCAAAAATTTTCTGTTTATATGTTTTTAATCCGTGTATTAATGTTTTGTTAATAATGTAATCGATCTTTTTGACCCAACGAAATCAAATATATACAAAATTACTACTTGAATAGCGCTTTAACGCTAATCAAGAAATATGTAAAAAGAAGGATAACTCCAAAAAAAGAGAGAAACAAATCAAAAAGTCATACTTGAGCAACAAATATTTGAAACCTATATTTTTTTATTTTTGTCGTTTTACTTTTGACATGTTTTTTAAAACCACTTAAAACTTTTCTATTGTTACGTTTTGAATTCATTTATTTAATTGTTTGTTTTTTAAAATGTTTAAGCAGTACTTTTGCCTGAAATACCTTTACTTTTACCGAATTTTCTCAGTTTTTGTGTACTCAAAAATTGTTAAACAAATACCGCCTTAATAATGCACGATCTCGTCGTTAATAAAGAATCTTTAAAGATATGTGATATGCAGAGAGAGCAAATCTTTACTTTTTTTGCCGTTTTACTTTAAATCTGTTTTTTAAACAATTGATAAAAGAATAGGTAAAAAGGATGACTGCAAATAGAAAGAAAAAAAAAACAAAAATTCATGTTTGCGTATTCAGCAACATAAATTTATAAACTTATTTTTTTATTTTTGTCGTTTTATTTTTGACATGTACATAGTTTAAACCAACTAAATATTTCCTATATATAATATACCTAACTGGTACTTTTACCTGAAATAGTGCTATTTTTTCGAAAATTTACGAAATTTTTCAGTGTATTCATAAATTACTAAACAATTAATTACAACTTTAATACTCCACGATTTCAACGTAAATTTTGGAACCTAGTTTTTTTTAAACACATGAATTTGGAAGTACTTTGGAGCCTCTAGTGTCTTTTCTTACAATAATTTAATTAAATTTCTTAGAGGATACCTTATTTACCAAAATCAGTCTTATCTTAGGAGGTACTAGCCCCGTCCACGCACCCTCTCTTTTCTTAAAGGGTATCTCATGAGCCAAAGTCAGTCTTATCTGAGCAGCGACTAGCCCCGCCCACCCACCCTCTCTTTTCTTAGGGTGTATGTCATTTGCCAAATTCAATCTTATTTTAGCAGGTACTAACCCCACCCACCCACTTTCTATTTTCTTTGAGAGATCTCATTTGCCAAAATAAGTCTTGTCTTAGCAGGTACTAGCCCCGCCCACCCACCCTCTCTTTTCTTAGAGGCTATGTCATTTGCCAAAATCAGCCTTTTCTTAGCAGGTACTAACCCCGCCCACCCACCCTCTCTTTTCTTAGAAGGTATCTCATTAGCCAACGTCAGTCTTATCTTAGCAGCCACTAGCCCCTCCCACCCACCTTCTCTTTTCTTAGAGTGTATGTCATTTGCCAAAATCAATCTTGTCTTAGCAGGTACTAGCCCCGCCCACCCACCCTCTCTTTTCTTAGAGGCTATGTCATTTGCCAAAATCTGCATTTTCTTAGCAGGTACTAGTACCACCCACCCACCCTCTCTTTTCTTAGAAGGTATCTCATTAGCCCACATCAGTCTTATCTTAGCAGCCACTAGCCCCGCCCACCCGCCCTCTCTTTTCTTATAGTGTGTGTCATTTGCCAAAATCAGTCTTGTCTTACCAGGTACTAGCCCCGCCCACCCACCCTCTCTTTTCTTAGAGACTATGTCATTTGCCAAAATCAGTCTTTTCTTAGCAGGTACTAGCCCCCCCCCCACCCACCCTCTCTTTTCTTAGAGGGTGTGTTATTTGCCAAAAACAATTCGAGAATCAGAAATTTCAAATATTTACATTTTTACTGTTTTATTTTGAATCCAAAAATTCCATGTACATATTTAATTAAATTAATCGTCTTTTTGACCCAACTAGTTCGACGTGAATCAAGAATTAAGAAAAATGAGTGGAATAGACAAAGAAAAAAAAAACAAAAGTGCGTGGTTAGTAACAAAAATTTGGAATTTTTTTTTGTCGTTTTATTTTTGACATGTTTTTTAAACCACACAACACTTTTCTACTTTTATGTTATCAATTCATTTATTCAATTGTTTATTTATTAACCTAGCCAGTACTTTTGACTCAATTAGTGCCTTTTTCCCCAAAAAATTACCGAATTTTCTCACATTCTGTGTTCGTATTCAAAAGTCGCTCTACAATTATCACTTTAATAAATCAACAATTTCGACGTTAAACAAGAATCATAAAAATATGTGATTGGACGGAGAAAGAAAATAAAAACAAAAAATTCGTAAAATCAGAAATTTCAAATCTTGTTTTTTTTTTTATTTTTGCCGTTCTATTTTTAATCGGTTTTTAAACCGCCGAAAATATTATGTTTATATTCTTTTGATCGGTGTATTTAATTTTCTGTTAATAATATAATCGGTCTTTTTAACCTAAAATAAAAACTTTTCTATTTTTACGTTTTCAATTCATTGATTTAATTTTTTATTTATTAATGTAACCAGTATTTTTGACTCCTAGTGCCCTTTGTCCCAAAAAATTTACCGAATTTGCCAGTTTAAGTGCATTCAAACATCCTCTAAAAATTTCGACTTAAATAATTTCCAAATAAATTACGAATATGTAAGAAAATATGATTACATAGAGAAAGGAAAAACCAAAAAGTGGTGCCTGCAGTTAAGTGTTGGAAAATTCAAATCTTTAATTTTTATTTTAGTCCTTCTATGTTTGATGTATTTTTAAATCACTCAATTTTTTCCTGTATTTACGTTCCTAATGCTTTATTTTTTATGAATGAATTTTCACTGTATCAAGATAACCAATACTTTTGACTCGGTTATAAAAATTTAAATTAATTTCTCAGTGCTTCTGTATTAAAAATTCTGAAAAAAATCGCACCTGTGTCTCCGTGAGCCTTAAACTACTCGAAAACTCCGCCCTCTCCGCTATACTCAGGTACTGCTTATCCCTAAACTTCTTCTCCAAAGCCAGAAGCTGCTGCGTAGTAAACGGCGTCCTGGGCTTCCTATTCGGCTTATGTTTCCTCAAATTACACTTCAGCTTGGGAGGTTCTCCATTGGAATCCACTGCAACAACAAAAAACCCACTTACAACAACACAAAAAATAACCCTCTTCTCAAATTAGTCGCGATTTTAGACCACTACTAACCCATACCAAGAACCGAGAGCGCTACCCATCCAGCATACAAATGTGTTGGACGCACGGCTCATATGCAACTAATTGCCCCCATATTGCAATATCCTGTCTCTAAACGGGCAAAAAAGTCTCATTATATCAACTGTCACACAGCACGCATTCACTCATGAGAAAACATCAACGTTGGTCTTATGCCAACGGCGGCCATCTTTACAGACGCATCGGAAGTTGATTAATCCGTGGGTTTAATTACAATGTTAATAACATACAATTAGTTCGGCTTACTTTAATTATCAACACAAACCATCGGGTTTGACGGAAAATTGATGTTTATGCTTTTATTGTTAATTTGTCTTGTGGCTAGATTAATACACGACGATCGATGCTTGGCTAAACTTTGACTTTGAATTCCAAAATTACTACTTGAGTTTACCATAAATCGAGGTTTTTGTTTGATAGTGCAAAAGTGCTTATTCACGAGTAATAATGAAAATACGTTTACCTGTTAGTCAATAATTGAAAAACTCGTTCAACCATCGTCCGTATGTACAGTTTCCATTAGGGAAAAGACACAGAGCAGTCGATGCTAATTTATACTAATAATAGAAAAAATGTGTAGAATAACGGTCGCAGTAATTAAAGAATCAAAGGGGCTAACTGTGTCTTCAAATAACTTGCTCAATTCTTACATTTGCCCCTTTCTTGACCACGCCACTGTCTTCGAGGTTTTCGATCCCGCCCATTATCTCCGATCTCCATTATAATGAATTGTTAATTCAGATTTAACGAAATTACTCATCTGATGATATCTCAAGAATTATAAAATCTTAGAACCTTGAGCATTCCTGAAAATTATTGTCGGTGAAGTGACAACGTGGACAAGGCTAACGCACCACACTGTAGAAAATACGGCCATTATCATAAAACAAAACCACTCTTTTTAACTAAGTCATTAATTGTGTGCCTAATTACGACGGATTAAAAGCGCACATGTTCAAAGCCGGATATTCTTGTATCAACCGTCACTCGATATAAGCATTGTGCAAAAAGTCAACGTTGACAATAATTTTGATATTGTACTAAAAAACGTTTCCGCTTTTTATGAACACCTGAAGTTTTGCGTGGTTCCGAACGAGGTTCGAGTTAATTAAGTGGATTTTTGTGTGGAGAATTAATAATGTAATAAGTATGATTTGCGATTTTGCGTGGTTGTGATAAGGACTTTATTGTTGTATTTCCTAATGGATTCTATTGATTTCGGTTCACGCATTCGTATACATCATCGAAATTACCATAAATAATCTATTTTAATGGGTGTTTGCTATTTTTAACGGTTGACGCGGAAATTTATCCACATTCGGGATTATGATAACACGAATAAACGGTGTGGTTAAGTTACAGTTATTTAAATTTTATATCGAAGGCGTAGAAATATTTATATGCATTGATGGAATATAAAAAAACCCAAATCCGGAGTTACCAGGAGACTATTTGGTTTCAACACCCCATTTTGGACGCCAAGTACGACAATGAAACTTTTCCTGTCAGATGGATAGGCCGAAAGGGTACTATCGAGTAGCCTGCCAGGTCACCGGATTTGACACCACTTGACTTTTTTGGTGAGGGGTATTTGAAGAATCGCGTTTATATCAATAGACCGATTCACTACAAAATTTTATTCATCGTCTTTTTTACTACCAGGAAGTAATTGGAGAGCACTTTGAGCATCTTTTGTAGAAAACAGAAGTTTAATTTTGGTTGTGGTTGCTATTGGTTAATTTATTTATTTAATTACTGTTTAGTAATTTCTTTTGGCATTTCAATCAGAAAGAAAATATTATTGTGCTACATCAATGAATGAATGAAGCTGTATTATCCAAAAATGCATTAATTATAATAACATGGTAGTGCCATTTCAAAAAATCAAGTTGGCCTTGCATCTGGAAAACGAATGAAGCAAAAAAAAATTTTTTTACTAATAATTAGAGCACAATTTCTTGTACCCGCATATAAACCTCTCTATTTATAACTTTATAAGCTACATGGGGTTAGAATGACTTAAACTGACTTTATATGTATTCCATGAACACATACAAATATTTCTACGCCTTTGACATAAAATTTAAATAACTGTAAGTTGACCGCATCGTTTATTCGTGTTATCATAATACCGAATGTGGATAAATTTACGCCGCTACCGTTAAAAATAACAACCACCCATTTAATTCAGATTTGTAGAAAATGGTGCTTATTATAATAATAACTATAGTGTCAATATTGCGCTTGAAATGTTTGAAGTCCCTTCTTTCAAAACGTTTTAAGAAAAATATTGCAAAAAAGGTATTTCTACTATTAAAGAAATTGTAAAAAACCAGTTTATATATTTTGTAGTGGACGAAACCTCTGATGCTTGGGGGCGTTATATTGCTAGTCAGTAGATTGTAGTAGTGATAAAGGGTCTAGTAAATCCTATTTAATTGCATTGAAACGATTAGAGAAACCAACTATCTGACTATATTAAGATTTATCAAGGAATCCTTCATGAATTGCTTTCTTCCTGATATTGTTCCTGAATAAGTAATGTGCAAAAAATACATATCCCGAGAACGGTTTGTTGAATCTTTTTATACTTCATTTATTTTTGAGATCCAGGCCTAACTTTTTTTTAATAGGACTATTAGTTAAATATTCCGTTTTTAAATAGTATTTTTTTCCTGAATTGGTGCCAGCGTAACAGATTGATTTAAATGCAATTTCCAAATAATTTACAAAATAGATTTTCTAGAAATTTAATATTTAATGATTGTAAATAGTGAATACATTGTTATGAAAGCTTTTTGAAAAATTTTAATAAAAAAACTATAGGTACTCTTGAAAAAAGATTAGGTAACATTTAAAAGACAATAATTTTACAACAAATATTCGAACTGTTCTCCATTTACTTCCAGCAATAGTAAATACGTTGAACAAAGTTTTCAAATGAATCAGTTATAGAATATTAGAAGGAATATCAGCAATCACATTTAATATTTTTTCTTGGAGTTCTTCGATGCTTTGTGGTCTATTAACATAAATTCGATTTTTACATACCCCACAGAAAAAAGTCAAGTGGAGTTAAATCGGGTGACCTAGCTGGCCACTCAACTGCTCCCCTTCGTCCTATCCACTTTCCAACAAAAGTTTCATTCAAGTAACGCCGTACTTGACGTCGGAAGTCAGGTGGTGCTCCATCTTGTTGGAACCAGATGGACTCTGAAGGTAAATTTGGATTTTCATAGTTGGGAAATATTTGTCCAAGTAGAAGAATAATACTTTGTTGTAAAAGTTGGAGGTATTTGTCAGATGTTAAATTTCCGTTGTTAAGCCCCACCCACCCTCCCCTTTCTCGATTGTGACGAATTTTTCATTTGTGGTATGATTGTGGGGCAGAGCTTAATTGCAAAATTCATATTTGTTTGATTCTTTAAAGTCCCCAGTGTCTTTTTTAAGAAAATTGATACACAGTTTTCGAGGCCACAAGTATCAGTTTAAATGACTATCACATAGTCTCGAGAGCCACGAATTTCTATTTTAAAATATTATGACACAATTTCGGACTCCCCAATGTTTTATGTATCGCGTTATTGAAAGAAAACTACCTATGATTAATTAAGCCCCACCCATCTGCCCTTTTCTCGATTGTGACGAATTTTTCACTTATTGTCTAATGGAGGGGCGGAGCTTAATTGCAAAATTCATATTTGTTTGATTTTTTAAAAATATAATTTTAAAGAATCTCGGGAGTCCCGAGTGTTTTTTTGAGAAGATAATAAGGAATTTCGGGGGCCACAGGTGTCAATTTTAAATGATTATAACACAATTTCCGACGCCACAAGTATCAATTTAAATGATTATGACATAGTCTCGAGAGCCACGAATTTCTATTTTAAAATATTATCACACAATTTCGAACTCCCAATATTTTATGTATCGCGTTGTTGAAAGAAAAGTACGTATATGTGAAGAAAAAGAAACCAAAGATTAATTAAGCCCCACCCACCCGCCCCTTTGTCGATTGTGACGAATTTTCCATTTGTTGTATGATCCTGGGGCGGAGCTTAATTGCAAAATTCATATTTGTTCGATTCTTTCAAGTCCCGAGTGTCTTTTTTAAGAAAATTAATAAGCAACCTCGAGTGCTACTAGTGTCAATTTTAAATTATTGACACAGTTTTCGAGACCACAAGTATCAATTTAAACGATTATCACATCGTCTCGAGAGCCACGAATTTCTATTTTAAAATATTATAACACAATTTCGGACTCCCCAATGTTTTATGTATCGCGTTATTGAAAGAAAACTACCTATGATTAATTAAGCCCCACCCATCTGCCCTTTTCTCGATTATGACGAATTTTTCACTTATTGTCTAATGGAGGGGCGGCGCTTAATTGCAAAATTCATATTTGTTTGATTTTTTAAAAATATAATTTTAAAGAATCTCGGGGGTCCCGAGTGTTTTTTTGAGAAGATAATAAGGAATTTCGGGGGCCACAGGTGTCAATTTTAAATGATTATAACACAATTTCCGACGCCACAAGTATCAATTTAAATGATTATGACATAGTCTCGAGAGCCACGAATTTCTACTTTAAAACATTATCACACAATTTCGAACTCCCAATGTTTTATGTATCGCGTTGTTGAAAGAAAAGTACGTATATGTGAAGAAAAAGAAACCAAAGATTAATTAAGCCCCACCCACCCGCCCCTTTGTCGACTGTGACGAATTTTCCATTTGTTGTATGATCCTGGGGCGGAGCTTCATTGCAAAATTCATATTTGTTTGATTCTGTCCAGTCCCGAGTGTCTTTTTTAAGAAAATTAATAAGGAACTTCGAGTGCTACTAGTGTCAATTTTAAATTATTGACACAGTTTTCGAGGCCAC